CTTCCCTCCCGAGAGGCCCGCTCTGCCCGCTGCTCACCAGCCCCTTCCCTCCCGAGAGGCCCGCTCTGCCCGCTGCTCACCAGCCCCTTCCCTCCTGCAGTTCAGCCTGTCCTCTTTCACTTGAGGAATCGGAACCATAGTCATATTCTGACTTCTGATTCCACACACCCGCTTACACCTGTGCCCACGCATTTGGTTCCTCTTCTTGTTGCAAAGACTAAACCTCGAGGTGCTTGTGGCTCTCTGCCTCAGCCCTCCTCCTGCTTTCCAGGTGTGGGTTCATGAAAGAGCCGCTCTCTCTCGGCTTCGTACATCATACACTGTACATCGCACATCGTACATCGTCCCTCATTCTCGGCAACAGGCCTGCTCTGTGTGTTCGGCTCTGGCGCATGCATCACTCAGGACCCCTTCCTGTCCCAGCTCCCAGCGGATCCTTGCAGGTCCACAGAGCGCAGGCCGAGCAGGGCCTTGCTGGCTTGCCGCGGACCCCGCCACCTGGTCATCTCCTGCTCTGACACAGGTGAGGCTTCGGTGTGCTGTTCCGAGCATGCAGCCCAGGGCCAGGTGCGGGGAGCCGTGCATAGGGGTTAGGGTGGTGGGATGGGCACGCAGGAAGGAGCAGAGCACAGGGCCCTTCTCTGCCATTCGTGGACCAGTTCATTTGCAGATGCCTGGAACAGACCCATGGGACAGCCACGGACACCAGCCACATCATTTCCCTGAGCCTGGAGACTGCAAATCTCTGCAAAGGGCATTCTTTACTCAAGGCCCCCTGGGCTGTGTGTGCAAGGGGCCGTGTGCACGCAAGGAAAGCCAGCCCCGCAGAGGGAGGCTTTCACACCAGCCCCGACTCCCTCACCCCTGAGCTGGGCTGTGAGGTCCTGGGCCACGGTGGTCCCGGGCTCCCCTGTGCGCTCATTCTCCAGCCCTTGCAGCGGGAGCTGGCGTCCCAGGTTCTAACAGTGCCCCCCTTCCCCGCCTGCTTCCCTAGCTGCCTCTGAGGGAACTCAGGAAATGGCTTCGGGGTGTGACAACACCCAGCCCATTTTATGGGCGAATCAGAATCCACTAAGGAAAATGCAGCTCCCCAACTCTCTGTTTCTTACATCCTGTGAAGGTTTTGTGTTGGGCTCCGGATGGACTCCGTTTTCCCAGAGGCCAACCATCACTAAGGCACGGCTCGGAGCACTGAGCTGAACACACCACAGTCACTGCAAGACAGAAAGGGACTGAAGGAGACAGACCTGGTGGCCTGTAGGGACAGCGCTAAGAGGCTGCACACTCCCCTCTCCGCACATAGAGGATGGAGAGGTGTCCAACCCATCCTTCTCTGCAGCCAGAGTCCAACAAATCCTTACGGCCATACTCAAGTCGTACAAAACGGTGCACAAGTATGTCTGAATCACTCCTTCCCACCACCACTGCGGCCAGGGCTGGAACTCAGCTCTCCACTGACCTCATGCCCAAACACTGGACCATCGAAGGGATGCAGTGGTTGGCCAGAAAGACAGGGGGAAGGTCATGTGAGTTTCCTGTGGGTTAAGTGACCCCTTCAATGAGGGAGGTTAGAGCTAACTTCCTTGTATCCTGCAAAGGGGATTCCACTGGATAAAGAAAGTAGCACCAAGAGCCTGGGGGGAAGAATTCATCAAAGCTAGGCCCCACATTCCTCCAGAGAGCCTTATGTTCCTCCTGCGGAGGGGAGCAGGGGCGGGGCAGGGCAGGAGAGGCAGCAATGGGCAGACTTCAGCTCAGATCTCTTCCTGGAGTCCAGTAAAGACTTCCAACGTGGTCCTCTGTAGACCAGATGACAAAGGAGGAGGTCAGGCCATGGACTTCCCACTCAAACGTGATCCAGAGCCAAGAGTCAAGCATGCCCAGAACCCAAGGCTTACATTATAGATGGGCAAGACTCCACCTTAAGGTTCAGTAGTGGCAGTCTCTGTAACCAAGAATGATGAGGAAATGTGGGCGTTGGCAGAGTTCTCCTCACCCGAGCTACAGCACCAGCAAGGGAGTCGAAGCAGGTGGTGGCAATACTAAGACAGTGCTGTGGGTTGAATAGCATCACCTACCAAGAAAAGACAGAATCCTAACTCCATCCCAACATGTCAGGATGGTCTTTGGAAACAGAGTAATGGCAGACTTAATTAGTGAAGATGATGTCACTCTGGAGTAGGGCAGAAACCCAGGGTCCCTATAGGAAGACACCCACGTGAAGACAACAGCACACAGAGAGAAGCGATGTAAATGTCAACACCGAGACCGGTGGGGAGCAACTGCAGGAAGAGAAGCCCCGGGGCCTCGGCCACCCCAGAGTGAGAGGAAGAGAGGAGGGGAGCACCTCCCCCGTGTGCTTCAGTGGGAGCAGTACTTCTTGGTTTTGGCCTTTCAGCCCTGACGACCTGAGAGGAAGCATCCCTCATTTGCATTAGGTTACAGCAGCTCTAGGGACTAGTTGAAGAGACCGCTTCACCCACCGCACCACAGAGCCGCCTCTTCTCTGCCCCACCACACCCTTTGGTCCAAGGAGACCGCTTAGATTGACGATCTCAACCTGAGGGCTGTATGGGCAGACACAGGTGGAAAGGGCTGCTTCTGAAAAGCCCCAGATCGCTCAGACCATGCCAGAGAGATGCATTGCAGGGGCTTTCTGAAGACCAGGGGAGACCACCTGGCTCTGAGGGATGAGGAGAAGACCCCAGAGCCGACAGTTCCCCCAAAGCTAACAGTTCCTCCAAGCCCCTTAGATGTTCCCCTGCACCCCACAGTCCCGACAAGCGACGTGTAAACTCAGCATCATAGGCTAGGCATCCCTAGGGCCCTCCCAAGACAACACAAATAACCAAGAGCCATCCTTAGCCCCCACTTACTGCCCCACCCCTGGCCTGTTCATGTGATCACACAGTGACCTGACCTCAAAGCCCAGCTCCTTCCCCAGCTTCTACAAAGAGGCACCCACTCTGAGGACTTAGAAGTGTCCCGCAAAACACTTGGAACCATGGTGTTTATGACACAAGGTCAGCATCCTGGAACAAGCCTGCCACCACTGCTGCCCCCCCCCACTCCCTGGCTCCTCTTCCTGCCCTCCTTGCAGACCAGCCCTAACTGTGCACAAGACACCCCTGGTGACACACGAGCCCTGGGCTCTGCCCCCAGCACCTGTCAGGTTCTATCGATGTATATTTGCCCAACAAATTCCACTTCCTCCCTAAGAGGGATTCAGGCACACCTGTTGATGTGTGTGTGTGTGTGTGTGTGTGTGTGTGTGTGTGTGTGTGTGTGTGTGTGATTTCTGAAGACAGTAGGGAATTATCTTTAAGGAGAAAAATACATCCTCTTAAAAAGCCCAAATCTTACACAGAGACTCCTAAATAGTACTGGAGTCCACGAGAAACATTGTGTTTCTGTCACTGTCAAATGAAGAATCAATACAGAGAGGGCCAGGAAAGGGGGGGTTCTGAGGCTTTGGTGTCACCCAAAAGTAGTGAGCAGAATGAAAGCCAGGCTGAAAGACCCCAGAGCCCCAGCAAGGAGGAGGTGGGCTGGCCCCGGAGCGCTGGTATGTGTGCCTGATCCACCACACAAGAACTGCCGCTAAGCTGACCCGAGACACGCTGCCCACAGGGCTCTGTCTTGGACCAGACCTGGGGCCGGGCCAAACTCCCCCAGCCTCGGGTGGTTCTGACAATATAAAGGCTACGGAAGTAGAACAGCCAAGAACACCAAGCCATGACACTTTCAATATACTTTATTAAAAAGTTTCTTTGTATAAATTTCCTAAAGATTTTAAAATTAAACCCTACCCCTCCCTGGACTCCCCCCCAAAAATAACACACTAAAGGAATTCCAAAAATATTCTCTATGATGACTTTCTTTCAATCCTTAATTAAGGCTTTGGTCCCAAACAGTGCACACAGATCAATGGGGTTTGCCTCATTCTAACTAGACCATTTGTTGGAGGATTTAGAATAAGAAAATGAGCTAATCCAGCAGTCTAGAGGGTGGGGAAGGAAAAAAGTTGGATTTTTGTTTTTCCATCTACAGCCGTGCTTAACTAAGAAAAAAAAATGAATCAAGCAGAAGTATATAAAAAGGAGCTGTGACATTGGAATTATTTTCTAGAACTTAAATTTTCCCAGAACAAGTGTAACAGGAAACTCCAGAGGGGATTTGAATGCATAGGAATGTTCACATAAACACCAGCATTGGCTAACTATTACACAATAGTTCAAAGTATACGATGGAACTGTCTGGAGACAGCAAGGGCTCCACAGACACAGTTAGCACCATAGAGACAGGTGGAGCGGCAGAGCAGAAGGCTTCCTCCCAAGGTCGAGTGTCCATCAAAGCCGGAAAATGCCTGGCGCCGGGGAGTCTGCCCCGGCTTCTACAGCGACCGTTGGAAATGGCTGCTTCCTTCTTCTCAAGAGGTATGTGTTGCTGGCCAGCCACGCCTAGGTGCCGATCACATTGATGACTGGTTTGGTGAGCCCTGAGAGTGGATGGAGGGAGAGTTGGGGTGGGGGAAGGGGGGAGGGAGAGTGTGGAGAGATGAGACAGAAATAAAAGCCATGTTACTGACAAAAAGACAGCCTCGGTCTTCTTCTCTGTCTCCCTTCCTGTTTAGTACTGTCGCTGGCTCCCCAGGGCTTTCTTGGCTTTGGGTTGGGGCCTCTGTTTAATCTGACTGCATTCACATGGCTGATTCATCCCTTGGCCTTTATGCCAGCTGACCCTTTCCCCTTCCCTGCTCTGGCCTGACCCTGGTTCCAGTCCTACTTTCTTCTATTTTCCTGCCAATTGGGGGAGTGTTCAAGATGATAGAAATATTGAATAGCCTTGGTGCTAACATTATTATTCACAAGAAGCAAAATTACTTAAAGATGAACATATGGGAGTATTTATCTTTAGTGTTTTCTGTAATTGATCACTGTATTACTTCCCCAATAACCATGCTTGCTACAACATTCTATGAGTAATAAAGACTTGATAACATTTCTGAAGAGTGACCAAGAGTCGACCGGGTGTTTCTTCACTGGCAATAATACAAGTATGTGTTTTAGGAAACAAAATAATAATTCAAAAAATGAATTTCATGTGTGCTTTTTGGGTGGAACTTATTATTTTGTGTATTTTTAATATGCTTTCTTTGAAAAAAAATATATAATTTGTCTTCTTTGTTTCAGATCTCATAGACACTGTAGATTTGCATATTTTCCAAGGGTAGTTATTGACCTCGATCTCTCTCTTATTTATCACAGCTACTACCACAAAGTACAGGGACTTACCAGGAGCACAAACAGCTTCGCATGCTTCCTGTGAGTCAAATCTGTTCTCGTTGCCCCCACAGCCTCCAAACCAAAACCTCCCGCAGCTTTTGTTGTGATAGTCATAGTACCAGGCCACCACGAATTTTCTGCATGTTCCAGTGTCCTTGGGCAACATACATATATCTAAAACATCAAGAGGAGAAAGGCGTCAGAGCTGGGGCAGGCAGACTCATCACCACACTGAAGGGCTTCTGGCTAATCCCCGGGTCCTTCAAGGAATAAGTCAGACTTCTGAAAGGCCTTTATATGGTACACTCCGAATCCTAGACATTCTGTGTTGTTGGATAATTTGACTGGAGAGGATGGGTGAGGGTTGGAGAAGTGGAGGAGGAGGATGGGATGGCGGACATTGATCAGCGCATTATACTTATAGATTGGCATGTTAAATAGAAACCTCTGTTCAACTACTTGAATAATGGAATACATACACACACATACATATATGTAATTTTTAAAGAAAATGTGTCTCCCTCTTTCCAGTCTGTAGGTCATTCTGCTCTCTGATTCCTTCTCTATATAAACTACAATTCAGAGACCACAGGCCTTTCTACTCATTAGCAAAGTGGCATCTAAAGTATGCCAGAATAGCCTTCCAAAAGAGTCTCCACATTTCACAACACACCAAGCAGATGCCAGTTGCAAACAAAGCTCCACGTGATGTGTAGGTACAGGTGTGTGACAGGATGGGCACCTTCCTGACCAGCCACAGGACAGGAGCACTGAGAACTAGCACTGAGCATGAGCTCGTGTCAGCAGGAATGCCCCCAGAGCACAGCAGTTTGGAAGTCCTAGAAGCATTGGCCCCAATAAGTAAGTTTATGTTTGCAATACACACGGAGCCCTGAGGTCTCTTCAAAATCTGCAGAGGGAAGTTTACGTGCACAGTGAAGCTTCTGTTTACAGAACTTTCTGGAAAACTCCGACATGTTCTGGGAAAGAGATACATGGATGCCAACTGTTATCTGAAGCTAAAAATATATAAATAAATAAACACCCTTGGAGCAGATAATACATGCTTGTGTGAAGAATCTTCCAGCTTTCCCCTCAAAACACCACCTCCACCATCCGTGTCTCCACATCCCACACACAAGCATAGCCATGCTCACACACAGGAAATGATACGAGAACACATGCAACACCAGTCTGAGACCCGGAGACTCACCAATGCGGCAGGTGCCAGATTTTAGATTCACCTGTATCAAACTGTCTGCAGGAAAATCAAGCCCCAATTTGTGAAATAATCCCTATCATATGGAAGGGAAGACCTATGTATTAAATCAAGCTAGGTGTGGTGGCACACTTCTGTAATCCCAGTTACTTGGAGAAATGGAGGTAACAGGATTGAGTACTCAATGCCAGTCCATACAAAGTTAGAATATTCTATCTCAAAAACAAAATACAAACAAAAGAACTGGGGTTTAGCTCAAGGGTACAATGATTCCCTATCATAAGTGAAGCCCTGGGCTTAATTCCCAGAACACACACACAAACACACACACACACACACACACACACATACACACACCCCGCATCCAGATCAGAATGACTGTAATTCTGAAACTTGGAACTCTATATTTAAAAACAGAACAGCTTTGCCAGATTTGTATTCAAGATTGTGATGTTTATGTTGAGTAGACACTGTTTATATAGCTTCTCCTCTGGACCACACATAAAGGAGCCCACAACATCCCTGAATCTTGCTGTCTAGGAGTTACTCCAAGCTATCTTCTCTCAATGAAGCAAGAATTTTCTAGAAAACAGTCCGTTTCCCACAGGGTGGGGGGTAAAACCAGCTAGAGAAGGAAATAGGGCTGTGAAGTGAGAGCTGGGCCTTCGCTGACCTACATCTTGGAGGAAAATCCAGTGAGTTCCCTGTGGCTTGGCTCTGAGGTCAGATCTCTTGGGATATATGTGGGGCTGGGGGAATCCTTGTCAGGATAGCTCAGACTGCACTGGTGGGCAGAGGGTAGAGGGCGGAGGGCGGAGGGTGGTGGGCAAGGCTCCCACCAGGCAGGACTGTGAGACTGGGAAGAATGCTTGTGGGCAGAAATCAAAAGTTTTCTTTCTTACCTCCAACCCTCAGTACACATGCCTACTTCCATTTTGAAGTTTAAGTTGAACTGTCATAAATTCAAATTCTTTCAAGTCTTTTGTGATACAACCCCCATGCAGTTAAAATTTAAGTTGGCTCAATCAACCATGAATTCTTGGCTAGTTTCTATACAAGTCTATTCAAAGAAAGCTTCCTAGGGCTGGGAAGGTGGCTCAGTGGTAGAGTGCTCGCCTAGCATGCATGAAGGCCTGGGTTCTATTGCTCAGTATCACATACACAGAAAAGGCCAGAAGTGGTGCCATGGCTCAAATGGTAGAGCACTAGCCTTGAGCAAAAGAAGCTCAGGGACAGTGCCCAGGCCCTGAGTTCAAACCCCAGGACTGGCATAGCAATAGAAGGACAGAAAGAATGAGAGAAAGAATGAAAGGGAGGAAGGAAGGAAGAAAGGAAGGAAGGAAGGAAGAAAAAAAGCGAGCAAGCTTCCTAGTTTTCTATCTGTCTTTCCATTAGAAGGCCTAGAGAAGTTTGAAAAACACATGGCTATTTCTAACATAGTTCTTAAACTTGTCTCCAAAAGCAAGCTATAATTCATCTTTGGTTCGGTGGGAGGTTGTTTATTTACCTGTACTAAACATCAATGTGTATAATACTTCCCACATCCTGCCCTGCATGGTCACCTGCATGCTTGTGATGCTACATGCCTACACAGATCTGACCCGTGGAGGGGTATGCTGGATTAACTCCTTAATTACACGGACACGGGGAAGCCCCTCCCTGGATGACAGCATCCCAGCAACTTAAGGGCCAAGTGACTTCTCCCTTCTTGTCCCAAAAAGACCAGTGGCATGGAGGTGTAGGGTGAGGGGCACTCGGAGACATCGAGTTCCATTTCGGGAGCCTCCCCAGTAACCTGGAGCCCTTATCCTGTGGCATCACAGACCCTAGCAGTCTAGCCAAGCACAGGGGAAGGGACCAGTGGCCACCGGGTCCTGCTTACACCTGGGAAGCGGCTGCCATCCACCTTCCCGAGTCTAGTAACAGGAAGATGCATCTTCATTTGGAATAGCAAGTTTGTGAGTGAATCCCAGGAGGGCTCCTCAGAGCTGATTTGGAACTTCCCCCCTAGAACTCACAGAACTAGCCCCAAGGGGATCCTAGAGTCGGGACTTCAGAAGCCCTCCTGTTCTTGGAGCACCTTCCCCGTACCTCGAGTGGACCTGATCTCTTTACGGCTCACCTGTTTGAGTGAAATCCAATGGTTTCGTGTTCACTATGAGGTTGGTGGCGGAACTAGACGCTGTCTGCACTGACTGTACAGGTGGAGGCTGAATTTTCTCTACAAAAGAAAAATACATGTGAATAGTAGAAACCAGTGGACCAGGGACTCCTCAGAGACCAATTAGGGCTTGTTTTTCTTGATAAATGCTTTATCTAATGATTGTCTATTGTAAGGGTCGTGTGCACACTGCCGACGCTGTGGTATACAGGTTACATCATCCATTAACAAGCAAATGGAGGAAACCCCAAAGCCTGGGACAGATCATCTCATGCCCCACATCATCTCCTCTGCCACCATCCAAGAGCATGGAATGCTCAGGTTGAGATGGTCGTTGTACCACCAGGGCCATGGGTCTCACTCCTGGTGGCTGTGGGCATTCCTGGCCTCAGGATCTTTCCCCTGTGCGATTCACACCCACACAGCGAGAAGAGGGGCTTCTCCCCACAGAGAGGGGCCAAGAAGAACAGCACGGGAAGCCAGAATTCAGAAAGAAGAGAAAGCAAGGCCTGTGAGTGACCAAGAAAGGCTGGAAAAGCCTAGCATAGGGGTCCATGTCTGTAGTCCCAGCTCCTCAGGAGACTGAGGCAGGTGACCACTTGAGCACAGGTTTTCAAGAACAGCATGGGTGACACAGAGAGTCCTCAGGTCTAAAGCAAGGAGGAAAAGGAAAACCAGGAAGGCTGGAAAGGTGTGTGCGGGTGGTGGACAGATGGAGTCTGAAGAGCACAGGACTGCTGGGCTTGGAGGAGCCTCTGCTTGGGCTGCGGACACCCACAGACCAGGGGTCACAAGACATCACGGACTCCTCCATTACGCTCTAAAGAATCAGTGTCACCACACACGGAAACCGTCAGTGTGGCAGCGGCAGAGCCTTGGCCTGAACGGAAGCCCTACTTCCCTGCTTCTACCCCGGACACTTCACGCTCAGGCCCAGCCCTGCCTGGCCCCTGCTCAGGCCCAGCGCATCTGGTTTCCTCCACCCAGCAGCCCAGGTGTAATGATGGGCGCACATTGCGGGTGGGGGAGCTGATCTTCCTCCGTGTTGTTATACAAAACCAGGGTGCAAGCGAAGCACCCAGGATTTTGTGTTTTTATTTCTTAGTCAATAAATCACTGCTACTTTTCTGCCCCACTTGATGTCTCCCGTTGGAGCTGATGTCCTTGCGTGGAGCAGGCCGTACTCACGCGTGCTGAAGCTGCCCTGGTAGAAGGCCCGGACCTGAGAGCGCAGGGAGCACACCACCGCCACGTGGTACGTCTGCCCGGCCCGCAGGCCCCCGACGATGCGGCTGGTGACCGTGAGGTTCTGCCGCAGAACCAGGGACTGGTCGTGGGCCGAGGTGATGGTGAGGTCGTAAAAATAAGAACTGGGCGGCTCGGGCCTCTCCCAGGAGAGTTTGGCACTGTTCTCCGTGATCTCTGACACCTGGACTTCGCGGGACGCTTGAACTGAAAGACCAAAGCAGAGGGCCCACGTGAAAATCAAACCTCCCAGCCCCTATCACAGGGGGCAGAGCAGAGAAAGAGACGTGTGCAGGAGATGACACAAAATTATTTTAAAGGGATTTCCATCTTCTTGCTGCTCACAAAATAAGATGGCTCCCATGTTTTCATAAGCACACGCAGTCTGCTCTCATCTGGCTCTGCAACTTGAGTAGTCTTCTGTAGTATCTTCTAGCATCTTCTCTGACAAAATCAATACCCTAACACACTCTGGGTCTCATGAGCCCCCCGGCTCTGAAGAGCAAGCTTGGGAACGGTCAGTGTTTGTGGAAAGGTTCATCATTCAAGGTCTCGTTCTGAACTAAACACTCTGAAACTGCCACAGTGCACAATTTGGGGTTTCTTTCTTTGACCACGGCCGAAGGGCAAGGAGAAAGTTTATGACCACCAAGGGCTCCATCAGAATTTCCTGCATCATATTTTAAGGAAGCAAGGAGGCTGAGATCTGAGGATCGTGGTTCAAAGCCAGCCTGGGCAGAAATGTCTGTGAGACTCTTATCTCCAATTAACCACCAGAAAACTGGAAGTGGTGCTGTGGCTCAAATGGTAAAGCACTCACCTTGAGCTCAGGGACAGCAACCAGGCCCAGAGTTCAAGACCCAAGACCAACCAAAAGAGGCGGGGGGAGCTGGCTCCAAAAATGCATAGAATCATCTGCCTCCACAGCCGAAGAACCAAGGATTGATTCTTCCTTCCTTCTCACTCTACACAGAACACAATCCCCCTTAGAACCTCAGTCCATTGGCTTAGACAACTGGACTGCCAGACAAGCCGGCAGCTTGGACTGGCATCCCATGGAGGATGGGAGCATCCAGCCCATGCCCAGCCAGGGCAGGGTGAGGGGAACGGAGGTGAAGCTAGGGAGGGAGCAGGTGAAGAAGGTGTCAGAACTGGAGCCTACTTCTCAGGGACCTCACAAGCCTCAAAGTGTGTTAGATGAGACTTCCTTCAAATACAGAAGAAGACAGAAATGATGCTGTGGCAGCCCCGCACTGGGGCTGATCCCTTTAACAACACATCATCCCACTGTGCATACCCCAGACTGGGGACCACAAATGAGCAGGACACAGGGGCCAGGCCCAGGGCGGCAGATGAGGGTGTAACAACACGGCAGCTCCAACCAGGGCTTCCTTACCTACAGGTTTAGCCATGGCCGGCTTGGTGATGGCTGGTTTGGCCTGTGGCCTGGGGGCCTCTGGCTTAGTGGCAGCTGGTTTGGCTTCTGGTTTGGTAGAGGCTGGCTTGGCTTCTGGTTTGGTAGAGGCTGGCTTGGCTTCTGGTTTGGTAGAGGCTGGTTTGGCTTCTGGTTTGGTAGAGGCTGGTTTGGCTTCTGGTTTGGTAGAGGCTGGCTTGGCTTCTGGTTTGGTAGCAACGGGCTTGGGCTGCGGTGGCCTGGGGGCCTCTGGCTTGGGAGGGGCTGGCCTTGGGGCAGCCGCGGCAGGTGGTCTCACCGCGGATGGCTTTGCCACTGCAGGCTTCGAGGCCGCTGGCTTCGCAGCCACTGCAGGCCTGACTGTGGCTGTGCTGGGGGCCGCTGGCTTCGCAGGAGCTGGCTTCGCGGGAGGCAGACTGACAATAGTGGTGGGTGTTGTGGTGGTCACAGGCTTCATGGTAGGGCTTGAAGTAACATTGTTTGGAATGTTTCTGTTCAAACAAATTAGATATTACCTCTTCCTGTACATTCGCCTACTATCTAAAACACACAGACAAAGCCCCCTGAACTACGTGGATGCTCTATGCTAGCAGTGTGAGTGTGTAGTTTTTATAGATTATGAATCAATAGTATGCCCTCTATTAAACTTCTTGGAATCTGAGTCATTAAGAGAAGATACAAACAGCCTGTAGAAACAGAACCATTCAAAATAAAGTTTGCATTATACTAAAATGTATCAGATCTCTTATTACCAATGTATGAAAAAAAACATGAAGGGAGTTAAAGGGAATAATAAATTGTATCCAACAATGATCTAATTATAACCATTTATGAAATGAACTCTGTAGCCTGAAACTTACATAAAAATGAAATCAGCTATAGCTATTTTCGCTGTAAGAAAGTATCCATGCAACCAAGCGGCTCGCACTGGAAGGTTACATAGTCAGCTTCATATGAAGTCTGCTTGTCCTTCAAGTGCACATCTGTTTACATTAATTTCTGTGCATGTTAGTTTCTTCAATATAATTTCTTGGTCTACTATGTAGACCATGTCACTGTAGAATAGCAACAACACACAACAACACAATAGCACGGACCCACACTTGGTTCTTGCTTTTAGATGAAAATCCAATTATTTGATGGGTGAGCATCGTGCTAGATGCCACATGCAGTAAAATTTCAAGCTGATTAGTTACAAAACTTCAAATTCTAGGTTATTTTGTCCAGTCTGTTCTTCTATAGATAAGGAGTGTGAGCCAACTATAGGGACTATCCCAGAGAAACGATGAATTCATTTCAAGGATAGAAAAGCAGAACTAATGAATCTACTCAAGCAGTACCAGCACCACCGTGCCTGAGAAAGAGGCCTAGAAGAATATGCACAGGGCTCCATGTTGCTGCCACCATCACTTTCTCACAAGAGTAACCACTTTGAGACCTCAGCTGTGGCAGATGGCTTGTACACGTGGCCTTCCCATGTCTACGCAGTACATAGTGTGGTGTTGGGGGTCCTCCCCTCAGAGCTAGTCCTCCCCACTTAAATCTAGGTTGGCCATTAGACATGCTTTGGCTAGGAGAATGTTGTGAAAAACAACAATACATCATGTCTGGCTTATGTGTCAAGAGACATTGTACTCTTGAGCCTTTTGTAATGGAAGCCTGCCTGCTCACCTTGTGGGCAGGCCCAGGCTAGTAGCGTCCTGGTGAGTGAGAGACCACGTGGAGTGGCATAAACCATACCAGCTGGCATCCTCCAAGACCAGAGAGCCAGTGCAAGGATGACCACAAGTATCTACGGAAATCCAGTAAAGACCAGAACCATCCAGCCGAGCCCAGCCAGAACTTTCTAACCCAAGAATTGCAAGTAAATTATTCTTGCTACTATGTTCCCACTAGTTTGTTAGGAAGCTAAAATGTGTGATATAACAGATTCTTCTAGAATGGCCCACATTACCTTAGGGAAGTGCTTTCTCTGTATTTCGTTATCCTCATCCATAAAGTTAGGGGCTGGATGGAGGACCAGTGCTTCCCATCTAGCACTATAATTTTTGGAGCAATGATTATAATCACTTACACTTGTTTGTAACCAAACTTCACACCATTGTTTATCGGTTGGTCCCCTTGGAACCAATCACATTGTTTCTTGATATCTGGAGACAAGTAAAAAGCATGTTTACCTGGGGAAAAGAGAGAAAAGAGGAAAAAAACATTTATGAACCACAGGGTAGTTAAAATTAGTTCACTAATGAGTTAAAAACAGATTGCATAATGTTTACTTAGCCCATCAATAAATGTTGATTCTAATACTTCTTCCAGACATGCTCAGTCCAGTCATCTTAAACATTAAGTATGATGGTACTTGGTCCACAAAATGTCTTAAGACAATATGTTCTATTTGGCAGTATTTGGGTGATTAAAGATAATACATATTCAATTCAAGGCAAGAATAGAAGAAAATCAAGTGGAGTGTTTAACAAGCTACCAACTCTGAGCATCAAATAATAATCTAGAGACATTTGCTGTTTTCTTGGTGCTTTCTTTTAATCCTCTGAAGGCAGGAACTTTGGTCGCTGGGTGTTTCATACCTCCCCTCCCCCTAAATCTTCTGGGAGACAAGCCTTCCCCCAGTGAGTCCTGCTCCTATGGACGCTACGTCCGCTGAGTGGTAATATGAAACATGGGTGTGCTGGCCTGCACATTCGTGCAGTGCACAGCCAGCTGACTCCCCCTGCCCTGTGTCAGCCCCAGGGGGATTTAACTGCCTGCATCTCCCAAGGGGCGTGAAGTCTCCTGGGATCAGAGCCACAAACAAATGACGAGCAGGCTAGGCAATGCACAACCTAACGACAGGTTCCAAGCGTGCCATGAGGCGGCCTTGGGAGAGGGACACAGAGTGAGTGGCAACATAAAGACGAGCTTTGAAGATGGACATGAACTTCCTGTGAAGGTGGAGGCCATAGCCTTCTGGGAAAGACAAGCCCCATAGGCCAAGAGCCAGAGGAACTAAGCATGAGGTTGCTGGCTAAGCCAGATCAGCGAGATCCTTCTGGAAGGTTTCCCCAAAGCTCCTAACGGGATACCCTTCTTGACGACACACCCAGAAAATGTGTGCTTGAACCATTCACATGCCTAAACTCTGGAACACCAACAGTGCCCTAGGACTTGATGGGGGGGGCATTGGTGGGTGGGGGGTGGTAAATGTGTGCACAGGGACAAAGATCATTCTCTCTGTGTTCCTGGCTCTGACCCCTAAAAGCAAGCACCTGCACCTCATGACAGGTGTCAATATCTATCTACTGTATGAACGAACATGTTTATATCAGCACACCGATATATTCTCTGTGCTTGTTCCTCCTCCTTCTATGGGCCAGTGTAAAGCCATGATGGGCGGGTGACGCGGGGTACAGAACTTACTGCCGACAAAGGAGGGTAGCAGCCTCCCAAATCGCATCAAAGGCTCTTCGTTGAGCTCGGTGGACTTATCCACTAGTTTGAAGAAGACGTCGTTGGGCTCACTGGCGAAGCTATACACCTCCTTGACGTTCACTTTCCTGCCGATGCCCAGAACCACGAAGAAGTAGCCCTTGCACTTGGCCCTCAGGATGGCTTTCTGGGCCTCCTCCACCTGCTGCTTCTGCAGCTGGCCAGTCAGCATCAGCACCACAATTTTCAGGTCCCGAGGGTTGGGTGCACTTTCAAAGACGTTCTCTACAGTGTATTCGACGGCGCTGCCCAGGTCACTCCTGCCCTGTAGCTGCCTCATTCCCCTACTGAGGAAATCCAGAAGATTCTTCTTAGAGCTATAGTCCGTCAGGGAGAATTCCACCTTCACCGGCGGCAGGCTGGCATTGCCCACAGATTCGTAGGGGGCGTGTTGCACAACAGCCACCCTGGCAAAGTGCTGGGACCCCTTGGGGTCTGGGCTCAGCTCCAGCTGCCGGACCAGGTAACCGATGTACTTCTTCATCTCGTTGAACTGAAACAGGGTGGTGGACTCCGAGCCATCCAAGATGAAAGCCAAGTCCACGTCCACATTGCTGCCGGCTGCTCTCCTATCCCTGAAGACCGGCCGCCAGCTGCCAAATCCGCAGGAGGGGTCGATGTTGCAGATATCTAGAAAGCAGCACCGCAGCCTGTTTATTCTGTGACCCTGCTGCTACCTGTCCCCTTGAGAGGCTGAGTCTGGGCCACACCTGCTATCACGTAAAGCAGAAGACTCACAGGGCATGGTGGCACACACCTGTAACTCCACCGGGGAGGTGGAGGCAACCTGAGCTCCTTACTAAGACCCTGTCTCAGAAGAGTAAAAATAGATGGAAACCCATTTATGTCCTGCTTTCTGAATTGTAACCAGATTTCAGTTTTTGTCATCTAATTCTCCCCAGATTAAACACATCATTAAACGAAAATATGTGTGCTATACCGTAGCACCCACATAGATTTTAACAGGGTCTGGGAACAAAGCAACCCCTGAACTCTTTGCCATTCTTTTCTTCAAAGAAATATGTTCCAAAATGTCACTCACACCAAACATCTCAGTTCTACAACTTAAGGTCAGAACTTGGACAGAGACCACCTTCTCCTTTGTTATCTATAATATTAATTGTTCTTCCCCACAGAAGAAAGCTTTGTTTTGGAAGGCCCCTTTGAAATAGAAAACTAGTTACACTGGTAAATATGAGCTTTTCAGTGAGCCTCCGCATAGCTCAAGTTCTTTACACGGATTGTAATTCCTCACTCAAATGTCCTCCCGCACCCCCCCCCGCCTCCCGCCCCGCCTTCAGCTGGACAGCCGTCCCCCATTGGAGAGGAACCTTACCCAGGCAAACGTGGCAAGTGAGGATGTTCTTCAGGAAGTCCGTGAGGTCCCTCCTCGCCGGCAGGACAAGCGCGTGCCCCACAGCGGTGTTATTGATCTGGTTGAAACAAAAGGAGGTGATGACAGCTATAGCAGTGTGTATGAGAAGATGCTGTGGAATGAGTCAACTTCACATCAGGGAGTTGACTCCCCTGTTGTCCAGTGCCTCCTGTCTGAGGTTCAGGCAGAAGGGGAAGCCAAGAGCAAGGGGGCAGTTTTATCCTATTGCAACAGGCAAGAATCTAAATCCCTCTCGCGCTCTTTCTGCTAGAATGAAAGCAATCCTGGGGGTTCCATTTCCAGTTCCTCAACTGCGAAATGAAGTTAATGGTGCCTTCCTCCTGGAGTTGTATGGAGGACTAACTTAGATACTGTAAGTAAAGTGCTGTCGTATCTGCAGCAAATACTGGGGATGAAAGTTCCCCTTTCTCCTGGTGCTGAGGACCAAAACCCCAGGCATGGGAACACCAGGCCAGGGAGCACCATGGCTATTTGCAGCAACAACAGCAGCTAGAAAAATGTGAGCTCCACCCCTTCCCCACCCTCTTGGCTTAGACAATAGCAAGCCAAGTGAGGAGATGTCTTGTAGAAGCTGTAATGATGGCTGTAATCATTGCTGCCCTCCGTATGGCTGGAGACAATCATACATTTCATGAAAAGCTACTTTGAATGAAGGAATGAACGATGAGTGAATGGATCCACTGCTGATCATGTAGAAGCCATGAATGAAGACTTACAATTCACCCTGCCTTGCTGTGCCCACCCTAAGCAAGATCTTCACAAAGGGCCCATTGTAAAAAGCATCGAATGCTGGTCTCTTGAGCCCAGGGTTCTATGCGCCAACTGGTCTGCAGTGTTGGGCAGCAATAGCCCAGCTCCCTCACTGACATCAGCAGTAGAGAAACTACAGAAGACCCACATGGGAAGGAAAGCCATGAGAGGCTGTCACCCTGCCTTGAAAGACAGAGCTCTGACTTACAAAATGGACATGGGATGAGAACAAGGATAAAAGACTCCTTTCTGCCTTGCTTATCTATTGTCCAGGTGTGCTGGTCTTGAATTCTAACATACAACAAGATACAGGAATGGCTCAAGGGTAGCCTGGGCCTCTCTACAGGCTGGCTGGGACATCTGCACAGTGTATACATTAGGGAATACCAGAATCACTGACGCTTTGGGATATCTCTTTGAGAGATGTAGTCTATGTGGCCAGCCCTGGGGGAGAGGGATCATTGTGTGCTGAGCTTTGTGAAGTCAGGTAGGAGGACAGTGGCTCACTGCCTAGCCAGAGCCGTCAGTGAGGGGGAGGGCCCGAAGGAAGCAGTAACAAGCATAAGCTACCCTGCAAATCGCATGAGGGGTCCAGCTCGGCCCCTGTGATCTTTTAGAGCCACTACAAAACCTCCATGTATCTGACAATCTGCTCCAAGACAAGAAGGGGGAGAGACCACCACAGCCCCAGAGGCCAGACCTGCAAGGCATTGACCAGCTGCCGGTCTTCCTGGCTTGTGAGGAACAAGGGTGTGATCCCCGCGTCGGAGAGCTTGAGCACAGCCTCTTGGAGCTGTGGAGTGTCTCTGGTGGCCTTGTTGCTGAAGAAAATGGCCACTTTCCTCATCAGGAATCCGCTCCTCACACGCTTGTATGTGTTTCTGGCCACAAATGACATGGCGGTCTCCAGACTCTGCTGCTTGGATGTCAGGGCCACCTGCAGGTTCTTGATGCTGTCCAGGAGGGCGGACTTCTTCGTAGAGTCAGCAAAGCGGATCTCAGTGGTCACCTCGTTGTTGTAGGTGACCACGGCCACGCGGGCGCCCCGCGGGCAGTTGCTCTCAGCAATGGTCAGATCGCCCACGATCTTCAACACTACATCGCGCATGCGGCTAAAGGTGTCTTGAGTGACCCCTTCCGAGGTGTCCAAGGCAAACGCAAGCTCTGTCGGGAAGACGGGGCACTCCAGGGGTCCTGAAAAGGGTGGGGGTTTCGCAAGAACAAGCTTACTCACTAAGAAGGGTCTTTCTTTGCCCAGAAGGAAGTCAAGCCACCAAAATCCACTCACCATAGCAGCAAGCTGTAAGGAAACAGAGAAGAAAAGGTGAGGGACAGGTTTACCACTACGTGAGAACTGCAGACGTAAACCCATGTAGAAAATGATGTACTCACGGCATTTATCCTTGATGTTTTGGATGAGGGCACATTGCTTTAAAAGGAAACAGAGAACAGGTGAGAAAAGCAGGTAGAAGGCTACAAGGCCATGGTTTGCCCCGGACACATGCTACTTACATCCACGGAGTCACCACGGTTGCCTTTGTGACCCTGCGAAAACAAGCAAGGGAAAATTGAGAGTACAGCCGACATGCGTGATGTGGCGG